TTTTCTTTTTCTTTCCTTTTTTTTTTTTCTCTTTCTTTTGGCTGGGGAGTAGTACAGCAGGAGAGAGAGAAAGGGTTGCTTTCTCTTCTCAGGCCTTTGTTTTTCCCCCAATAATTTTAAAGAGAGTTTACCATTGTTTACAGTCGGTTTTTGGGTCATTTTTTGATGGGGAAAAAGAGAGAAAAGGGCGAGCTGGGGTTGGGTATCAGAAAGACAAAAGTGTTTGGGTTTTATAATATTAAAGAAGTCACCATTAAAATCTTCCTGGCCATGCCCCCTGCCTGAGCAATTGGCACATCAATTTTCCCCAGCATGGGCACTTCACAAATTGACGTCCTATCCTCTTCTTTTGATCCCCAATCCCCTGCTGAAGGACTAATACTGTCACGATAATGATGGCAAATGGGAATATATAAATATATGATCTTGCTTTTTTATTCTGAAACTTGTTGCTCTTTATCTCTTCCTTTTCCACCTTTTACTGCATCGCTTTTTGCATTTCAATGATGTGAAAACTTAACCCTTTAATACGTACGTGTTTTTCTATTTGCCATAAAAAAAAATTATCACTATCCAATTAGCATAATATATGCTCTGAACAAAGTTAAGATTTACAAATGGAACAAAACTTCTCTGTTGTTCTCAGTTGCATTAATTCCCGTTAAATCATTGGTTGCAAAAGGTTAACACAGTGAATATTCATTGCTAAATAAAAGATGGTAGGAACACTGTTTTCATGTCATGGATTGTGGAATCCACTCTATTAATTGAAGTTAAGCTACTCTGAACATAAACTTTCCAAAAAAAGGCTACTCTGAACTTTGCAACTCAAGCTTGACTTCTGATGAGTGTTAAGATGAAGAATTCCTCTCCTCCTGCTTCATCTAAAAGCAAACATACAATCAATGTCTTCCGTTCAGACTATTGGACTTAATATTTTCTTGGATAGTTTAACATTTTCTGAGGGGGTTAATCACATTTGTAAGCTTGGCCACCTATGAAAGCGATTGGTTGAGTGCATTCACTAATGCAGAACCTCAGTGGTGATGTAAAGGTGCCGTAACTTGTCCATTTATTTCTGAGAATGGCCTAACACAGCCTTTTATCATGTCCCTGACAATGCATGGGTTATCCCCAGTCCCCACTCAAATGCAGTTTTGTCCACAGTCCACTATATTGAACATGGCTGTGCAGTGCAACTTAGTGAGAGACACCTGACCCTTCTCTGTGCTTCTGGGACAATCCATCTTTCCTCTTTAAATGAACAAATAAACCCGGCACGCTCATTTCTGCTGTTTACTGTAATCACAATTGATGTTAAATCTTACTATTTGGTTCAAGTCTGGGAAGTTGTCAATACTATTGCTTAACATTTGACCTTACCCTTTCTCTAGTAAGAGCTATCACTAAAATAATTAGAAATAAATTGTTTGTTTGTGTACTCTCTCTTCCAATATTCAAGTAAGCTGGCCGAAATGGGGTTTTTGACAAAAAAAAAAAAGGATTTAGTTTATGTAAAAAGTTGCAAATGAGCTTTTAGAAGCTAAAAGCTGCAATTTCAATTGGAGATTTTGGAAAAAAAAAAATATTATTATAGTACTAAAAGATTGATAAAGAAGTTTAATAAAACTTATAATATATAAAATAAAATATAAATATTTAAAAAAATTAAGTTATTAAATAAAACATAATAAAATAAATAACATGAACGCGTGATATTTTTATACTTTAAAATAACGTTATGTGAACATAAAAATGATAAATAGTATTTTGATTAATGTTAGTTAGTCAACTATTATGACATTAATTATAAAAATTTATTTGATTTAAAATAAAAATATATAAATTTAATTAAATATAATAAAAAAATAAATCAATGTAACAAAAAAATTTTCTGAAAATGTGTACTTCAAAAACACGTTCAAGTCACTGAGCAAAATAAAAAAACAGGTTAAAGTCAAGTTAAACATGCTCTAAATTTAATTATTTGATGGATAAAAAAAGGGAAAATTTGGCAATCCTATGGACTTAGGTTAAAATTTATTAGTACAAGAGAAATTTCTTCTGACAGTTAAAATAAAGTTTTCATTTTTTTTTTATTCTTTCCTGCACCATGGAGTACCTAACAATTAAAAAGTAGTACATTCTTTTTCCCCCGTCTCTTTTCCTTATTAGCTAGTACTTGTGATACCGAATAGGGCAGAATACATTGGGTGGGAAGTGGGAAGGAAGGACAAGAATTAAAATTCATCTGCGAGTAGGGAGTGGAAGCCCCAAAGTCGGGTCCAAATCGTGGTAATAAATTTTGAAACCGAAGTGGATTTCTACAAGTTTCTGCTCTGTTCCTTTTGTGTCTACTGAACAAAATTGCTTTCTTTATGTAAAATCATGGGAAGCCAAAGATTGTTGTACCAAAGGAAAGCAGTGTTCACTCACATCAGCGTCAAATCAACTACCTTAATGTTGGGGAATGGAAGATTCTCTTGCCAAATCAGAGCTATCAGATCCTCATGACTTGGATAAATCCACCCCCCCCGCCCCCCCCAAAACTCCCCTACTTTACTTTTGTTTTAACGAGCCCATGTTAGTATACTAGAAAGGCAAATGCAACTCAGCTTTTGTTTAAAGCAGTGTAAAATTTGATGGATGGTCAGATGAGTCTAGTCTCTTTCTATTTTTATTCATACTTCTGTCTCTTTTTTCCCTTCTTTTCACTTTCTTTTTACCCCTTAATTTGTTGCCTTTCTTCCATCCCTATTGGAAACTTCTTCACTAACTTTATTGCTTGCTGTTATGTACCTTGTTTCATAGCTAGGTTAGGGGCCAGCCCCATTTGAGTGAGTCTAAGCCTTTATTCTTATATTTCTTGATCAAATATTTTGTAAAATATTATACTAACGGTAACAAAATTATAGCAGTTTAAAAATGGTTGATAAATTTGATTAATTATTTAAAATAAAATAATAAATATAGATATTATCCAGATTTTTAGAGAGGTGGATATGAAAATTTTGCTAACAAAAATGTCACATGCAATATCTAACTGAGTGTACATGAAAATAAAATGTCCCTCCGCCTCGAAACAGATCAGTACAAGAAACAAAATATGGTAACTGTACCAACCGGCAAAACTCATTAAAAGGCATTTAATTTCCTTCTTCTATGCACACTCAAAAGTGGAATAAAACAAAACATCAAAAAACAAAAACAGTCAATGAGAAAATGAATTGACTAAAATTAAAAACTATTATAAAAAAAAGGCTTAGTCAAGAGAAAGAATCCTCTGCAACCGGATCCATCTTTTCATCATCAAGATAAGTGTCCGCAAACATTTGATCAAGAATTAGCACCAATCCCATTGCAAATGCACCGTCAAACCCTGGCCGAAGACGAAGCAAAAACACATCTTTACCCAACATTAAATCAGTTGATGGGTCCACTTTTCTTTTGATCTCAGCCATCGTTTCCTTCGATGAGCTCTCCAAACAAGTGCTGTAGATTGTACAGCAACGCTGGGGAAAAGAACCCTCTATCTGGTACTCCTTGCCTGGATCACCGTATACGCCCACCACCACGCTCGACCGTCCGATGATGGATGATCGACGAACGCAAAAAAATGGGTTTTCGTTTTCCATTTTCTCGCCTAATAAGCCTTCCCACCTTTGATGGAGACTTGGCTTCTGATTTATCAAACATTAACTCTTTAAACGGGCACTAAGCTATTCCTTACTCTTCAAATTTTCTTCAAATTGGTTTAACAAAAGTCAATGCTTGACTTTTAATAAAAAGAAAAATGAGGGGCAATTGGAATTAATAATTCTCGCTTTAAAATCTTTTTAAAACATTTAAAGAAGACAAAAACATAGTATATAAAATCCCTGTACGTATGAAGCTTTTTTTAATAATTCTGCCTTTATAGTTTTAACTAAGCATAGAGGGCATTCCATTTTTTTCTTCTTGGGAAAAAGTAGTTCAATATAGCATACTCAATTTTCTGCAAGAAAATATGTATGAAACTTGAACCATAATCTTATGAGATTAAATAATTTTGAAATTTTCCTGCTAATTCATTTTTTTTTACCACATCAGATGATATAACAAAACATGAACATACTAGGGTTAAAAAATTTCTACCAATAATTTTGTCCTAAAAAAATATTATATATACGGACCTTTCTATTGATCGGAAAAGAATCAAACTCGTCTAGGTTTGACATGGAAAACTGATTGTGAAGCTATAAATTATTACTATTTTCTCTACATGAACCCACAAATTGAGAAATGCTTTGTGATTGTGAACTTATTGGCTTTTACATGGCAAGCAACAGTTTTTCACTTTATTAACACAGTTGCATGATTGAAAGGATACCTAATATTTCATGTCATTGAAGCAGTTTCCAACAGACAGACAGACAAACTGACCTTTCGAATAAGGGTGAGGAGGCACTTGCCGGTTGCTTCCATGAGAACTAGCTCATCTTTGGCTTGTGAATCAGGGCCATAGTAAGAATCGTACCTAAAGATCAATTCTCCTTTAGGGTTGTATACAACGAAGCCATCTCCTGGAAAAAACACAGACGTCTTGTGGACTGTTAGGTGGGTTTCCTCTTCAAAACAGAACCTGTCATCCACGAGCACGGCTCTTGCCATGGTTATCACCTGAAAAAAAAGAGATACATCGTGCGATATAACAAAGCAGATATAGGAAAAAGACAGAGAGAAATTGGTAGAGGAAAGCAGGTAGAAGTAGGTTGACGTTTGTGGCTTAGAGCCTTATGGCTTTTTTTCCTAATTTAGTATTTAATTTAAGTTGATTGTGGTGGTCTTTCTTTGTCTGTGACGTGCACTAGACCTATAGGTGGTGCGACAGTTGAATGATCCATAAAATCTAGATCAGAGAATAGATAAATAAACTAGTAATGGTATGTTTTTATTTGTGGTTTTAAGCTTACCTATGGGTGCATGGCAGTTATCACGGATGGGCGCTGGGACAGGGCCAATTCACTCATTAAAGTCATGGCAGAGTCTGTCAATCAGTCAATGTTTGATGGCAGCCACATAAGCATGAGAATTGAAACCATAAATGCTCTCAAATGGGACCCTCTTGCCCGCTTAACAAGGATGATGTTTGATCATCAAGTATTTAATCCAAGAACTCTTTGATTGGACACTCTTTTACCAAGTTAATTTTGATGGCTACTTGTATTTGTTTCTGTTATTACACTTTTTAACTGGAAACGTTTTTTCTTTCCCTTTGTCCAGGCTCCCAAGTGATTGCGGCGTAAAGGAGCTGGATAGGTTCCCCACGTACCGGATTGCCTCAGCCGCCGGCGGTTTGCTAAAGCTTGTGAGGGATCATCCCCTGCTGCCAACGAGCTTGGTCCCTGGTTCATAACTAAACGCTATATCAGTTCAGGAAATTTAGCAATTAGTGGCGCAAGCATTAACGACACAATATATAAATTTTACGTCGCGGATAGAAGCTTCTTTGTATCCTGGCCGCTTGGCCTTAATCTTCTCTAGGGCCTAATAAACTCTAATTCCTTCAAAGTATATTAAGTGTATACTTTTAGCAATACTAAGAAAAATTAAAGGGACTTTATATTTCACTTTTGTATTAGGTAGACCTTAAGCTTTAAAGCCTAAAGATTTGATATAATGAATGACAAAAATGAGAAAACTCCAAACTGAAGAAAAATGAGCGTTTAGTCTTTCTTTTTATAGTGATAGTAGCTTGACCTCATAGCATTTAAAATGAGAAAGGGGAGATTCAAAGCCCGTTGGGCTTGATTTTTTTTTTAATTTAAAAATTATTATAAAATTTTTATTAAAAACAATAATTTTTAAAATTAAATTAAAATTATTTGATAAATTTTTTTATATCTTTTTTATAAATAAGTTATTTGATAAAACAATTTAAATAAATTTTAATTTTGATTAAAATTATTGTAAAGAGTATTTAATTAACAACTTTTTATTAATCAATAATTTCTTTCTTTGTAATGAAAAAAAATTAACTTGATTCTTTATTTATTTAAAATAAATTTTTAAAAATATAAAAAATATTTTTATATATCATAAAATTTATAATTAATAATAAATTATAAAAAAAAGAGTTTTACAAATAATGTTAAGATTATTTTTAATAAATGAAGATATTTTTTTAAAAAAATAATTCTCTTGAAAAACTAGTTCTTTGAGTTCTTTTATTTTAATAAGATTTTTTTTAAATAAAATTTTTTTAAAAAATTTAATTAAGTTTTTGTTTTTAAGATATAAATGAACTGAAAAAAATCAAACCAAACAGATATTAAGTGCAATTCTAAGGTTTTAAATATTTCTTAAATATGTTACAATATTTACCAATTAAAACCAAGGGACAACATTATTGCGCACAGCTCTTTTATTGCTCCGCCCTCTGGTCAGCTACGCTCAGTGCCTTGGATTTGCCATTAAACCAACCGAACAACTCTGTCGCAACTCACAACCTTTCCTTCAAAGGGCCTACTAGATTGCAATTACAGCTGTGCAGCCAGCGCAGTTTAATCAATTGGGCCATTAGTTTTTCTTAGGGGTGATTAATTGATTGGTTCTATTTGTTATAATTAAGAATTAAATAAATTAAATATTTTGAAAAATTATTTAAATTTAAAAAAAAATCGAATCAATTGAATATCAAATTGAATGGATCAATTTAATTTTGGATTAAAAGAACTAAAGTTTTATTCCTTTAATCTTTTGTAAATTACAATATTAAAATATATAAACTTTATTCATAATTATAAAATATTTAAAATAATCTAAATATAGAAAAAACATACTAATTATCATTTCATTACATAATTATATCTTCGTATATAAATTATCAAATTAATATTCAAGAGTTTTAATTTTTAAATTTTAACATTCAAGATTTAACTTAACAAAATTAATAAAATTAATATCTACAAAATAAGATCATCTAACATACGATAATCAACCATCGCATATCATTAACTTAGTAATAAAAAATTTTGATTTTTTGATTGATTTGGTTAAAAAGTTTTAAAATAAAAAAATTAATTAAATATATTAATTGGATCAAACTTTTTAAAGATATAATAGATCAATTGGATTGAACCATATTACTTAAATTACGTTCGATTCAATTAATTATTAGTTCAGTCCAATTTTAGCCCATCTTTAATTGTTTTTTTAAAGAGACATTGCCCAAGGGTGTTTTCCACACTTTTTTTTTCTTTTTTAAAAAATTTCCGCCTAGCTTTCCTGCATCTTTCTTAGATATTTTCTTCTTTTAATTATATTTAAATGCATTATATTAACAATTAAAAATAACATTTAATATAAAAAAAGATTATTGTGAAAGTGGCCTAAATCATCCCTTTTATTTTTCCGTGCTTTATGCGGGAATAAAATGTTTATTGGTATTCATTTTTATTTTACATAGATAAAAAAATTACAATGAGTATTCGCTATAGTAAAATAAGTTACTATCACAATTTTCAGAATGTATAATTACCCAATCGCAATCCAACATGATGGTTGTGAAAGCAAGTTCATCGACATCAAAGCTGATTACCTTCATATTTTAAGCATGACAAGAGTGATGGAGTGTGGATTATGTCTTCAACAAAATTTGTAAAATTTTTGCCATAGTATTTTATAAAAAATAGTAATGAAAATGCTGCCTACGTTGGCGTCCTGCTCAATGCTCATTTGATTGATAAAAGGGCAAAAAGCCACCATTTTTCCATGAACCTCCTAAAAGGAGGAGAACAGAGAGACCATTGTTGTGGAACGAGTTTTTTAGTGTGGAGTCTCAGGCAAGCTTTAACGGTTCTTACTTTCTCTCCGTACCCAAACGAGAGGGAATCAGCAGCCCTCCTTGAAACAAGTTCAATGTACCTTTTGCCTTCTCTCCTTTTCCCTTCGCCCTCGCATTAGGGAGTGAAATTCACCGTCAAACCCGACCCAAAAATAAAAACCGAATTTTCAAATTTCACTTTCCATTTCAGAAAATGTCGATCCCGATCCCTCGACCGTTGCCCAATGAGTCATGGGACTGTATGCTCCCAGGCCCACCGAGCCGCAACAACTTCGGATCCGCCGACCTAAGCCCCTCTGGCCTCCTCGCCTTCGCCTGCGGCTCCTCCGTTTGCGTAATCGATTCCCGCTCTCTCCAGCTCGTAACTACCATCCCTCTCCCTCCTCCTTCCGCCTCTGTCTCCGGTTCTTCTTCCTCCAGTTCCTCTACTTCTCTTTCCCCCTTCGTCACTTCCGTACGGTGGACCCCACTCCCTCTCCGCCGCGACCTTCTCTCCACTGAACCTTCCTCTTCTCACCTCATCCTCGCCGCCGCCGACCGCCATGGCCGCATCTCTCTCCTTGACTTCCGTCTCCGTTCTCTCATCCTTTCCATTGATCCTCCCGATCCTTCTTCGAAAGCCGGTATCCAGGACCTTTGTTGGGCCCAGGCCAGGGCTGATTCTTTCCTCCTTGCTTCCCTCTCTGGCCCGTCCTACCTCTCCCTTTACAACACTTCGTCTTCTCGTTGCATCTTCAAATACGACGCTTCACCGGAATATCTCTCCTGTATCCGCCGAGATCCTTTTCATTCCCGCCATTTATGCATCATCGGACTCAAAGGATTCCTTCTTTCGATCAAAGTCTTGGGAGAAACAGAAGACAGTATTGTCCTCAAGGAACTTCAGATTCGAACCGATTGTACCGAGTTACTTAAGCTAGAAAAGGATGCTGCTGCTGGAGGAAGTTCTTCTTCTTCTCCTGCTTCTGCTGCTTTCCCGCTTTATGCGGTGCGTTTGGCGTTTTCGCCGCTTTGGAAAAACGTTATTTACGTGACGTTTCCGAGGGAGTTGGTTGTTTTCGATTTGAAGTACGAAACGACGCTTTTCTCTGCCGCATTGCCGCGTGGGTGTGCCAAGTTTCTTGATGTGTTGCCTGATCCGAATCAGGAGTTGGTTTATTGCGCTCACCTTGATGGGAAGCTCAGCATCTGGAGAAGGAAAGAGTAAGGAAGTTTATGTTCCCATCGTATTCCTGCAATATCTGGCCTCCTTGAAATTTAAACTCGACGCGATGAAATAGCCACTATAATGCCCAGTACTATGGGTTATTTAAGGAATCAGAAATGTTGTAACTAAATTAGGAAAAAGGGGTAGAGTAGGTTTTGATGAGATAAAGATAAGTCAATGTGAAATAGTTGGAAACCTTGAAATATCATTTTTAATTTAGATAAAATTAGGGGTTCCTGGCTTCCTTCACATAAAGATCATTTTAGTCTATGAATGTTATTTTAAATCTATTTCATACGGTGGACTATGATATGGTTTTTATCAACATGTCAACTGTATATGCATTGGTTCCATAATATGAATTTGCATTGAAGGGAATTCTTTTTTCTGTGGAAAAAAATGAAGGAATAAAAGATTGTTAGTACCCTCATTTTACAGTTTAGACTTTGATTTTAAAAATTTGTAGCTATTTATTAGTTGATATCTGGTTGAGCTAGAATCATATTAGCAACCAATTAAAGTTGTTGAATTCTTTTTCGTGCTGATAGACTTTGATATCACAGTAAGTGGAAGCTTAATATATTTTTTCACATTTGATCACTTATCATCTATAAATATTTTTGTTTCCTGAAGTTAGTTGTTAATGATACTTAAAAAATTACAAAACTTTCTGCCCTCAAGGAAATTTACTCATTTGGATATTATCACAGAGGAGAACAGATACATATAATGTGCACAATGGAAGAGTTGATGCCATCAATTGGTTCATCTGTCCCTTCACCATCAGTACT